AAAAACAAATAAACTACAAATTAATAAAAATAGAATACGACAAAATACAACGAGTTCATAAATAAATGTCAAGCTGTTTTAGGTATATTTCTGAAAGAAGTAATGAAAGACAACATAATGAAAGCATATGAATGCAGATTCTAGAAGAATTTAAAAATAGAAGAAAGAGAAAATTCAAGAAGATTTTGTCTACTCCGTAAAGAAACAATGGGCCATATCGAATGCTAAAAGAGATGAAAACATTAAAGTTCTAAGAGAAATTGCAAAAAATATCGAATAAATTGCTACATTTTCATACAGTATAGATGTTTAATTTATGTTTATCCATTAACACAAAAAATATGGAGATCGTTTATTTCTGTATTTCTATATTTTGTTTTATTAAATATCTTGTTGCTTGTCGTATTTTATTTAGTTTCAGTCTAAGTATAAAGTCTGAGTTAATATAAGTAATATTAAAGGAATATGTTTAGTTATGTTGATTTTTAATAATTAACTTTAATCTCTAAAAAATACTTATAATATTTTGAAGTTTTTAAATATTAAGATTTTTATTCTTAATAGTACAAATATTTTAATATTTTTTTGTTTAGAAAGTTTATCTTTGTTACTAAAAAAAGTATTTGTATTATCAAAAGTAGTTTGTATTATTAGAACTAATATATATGGTGCTATCGTTCCTATTAAGTTCCTATTAAGTTCCTATTAAGTTTAAGTAAAAATAAAGCAATATTTCCAATTAAAAAGTCTTTTTTGAAGACAGATTTATCCTTCATAAGAAAAATGTTTGTAATATTACACTAGTCAGTTATATTATGACTTTCAACACTTTTGTGATGAATATGTATAAAACATATTTTTTATGTATAAAATAAATAAATTTATGAAAAATAATAAAATAGTTTTATTTCAAAGATATTATATGCTAATATACAAGTAAATATATAATACGAAATATAAAATTATAATAATAAAATAAAATAATGATAAAAAATATAGTAATAAAAGTATTTTCATTATAATTTCTCTATTTGATATATAAAATATATATATTTGACATATAATATATATATATTTATATATCTCGAGCAATTAATTGGCGACATAACTCATCTCGTAAAATGCGGCCACATTCATTCCCAGGGATAATTTCATCATTATTATTTCTAATAATCTCGGCTTCTGAATCAGGATAATTATCTTCATGCGGAGGTTTTACTAATTCTATTTCGCCTGCGCTTACTAAATTATATAAAACACAACAAGCATGTATTATTTGCATTATACGTACAATATTTCGAAGTTTAAAATGGTATAATTGTCTAAACCGTTGTTTTAAAATGCTGAAAGCATTTTCAATTACACGGCATGAACTCAATTGATTATTAAAATATCTCTGCGCTCGTGTAGATGTCCGTTATCTCTATATGAGACCATTAAGTATTCCGAACAAGGATAAGCACTATCTCCAACTATATAAGAGCCTCTTAAAATATTTTAAAATATTTTATTTACATAAGTATTTTTATTTAATTTTTTAATGTAATTTCATATAAAATAAATAAAAATAAATAAAAATTAGATATAAATACAAATAAATATAAATTTAACTTAAAATACTTAGATATTTAATAAATAAGTACTAAAATAATTATATATAATAAATTATATATAATAAATTATATATAATAATATTCTAAATATTATTAACTTAAACAAATACCCTGAAGATATTCGTATAAATGAGAAAAATCCTTGCATCGTATACAGATCCGGGATATCCAATGAACGCATCTAAAAATTTCATTTTGTGAAATTCCACTACATCTTGCATATGAATTGAAAAATATTGTTTCTTATTAATGTATGAATTTTGATCTTGTGTTGGTTTATCGATTCGGATGTGCGTGCCATCCACGGCACCTATACACAAATTTAATTTAAGTTTGGCATACATATGTAATTTATACATGACGTTTGCACGAAAAAGTTATATAAAACACAAAAGTAAATTATACCAATAATTCCAGGAAACTGTTTTTCTTTAAAAAAATATGCCATTGTTTCTTCTTTTTCTTGTAATGTAGGAAATCTTATAATATGTGGAGCAAGCTGCATTAAAAAGTTTGTTACCTTTATTAAAAATTCATACAGTGTACTAATTGTAATATCAAATCGATCCACTACTGGTCACGATATCCTGCGCTTTTGTGACCAAGATACCACAAGTAAGTTAAAATGTGTATATTTTTCTGGTTGCATATCCTGCGTATTCTGCAATATATATTGAATGGATTTAAATAAATGTAATTACCATGTAACCAATTACCATGTAAACAATTTAAGAACTTAATTTAAATTACAATCTGTATTTTATTTATTATAAAAATAATTAATAATACATTTTATATTTTACTATAAATAATAAAATACCTTGTAAAGACATAAAAATTGGAGATATTGTAAAAACGGCCAATGAGATTATAAACAACTGCATGAGATAAACGAAAATGCATTACAAAATCTTTTTCAATATAATTTCAGACTATAGTTTCTACGTAATGTTAACTTTAATATGATGAACACGTTATATAATATTAATCGCAAGAATTGTAGTATTTCATCATCTAAAAATTATAAACAAGAAAACAGAAATTATAATTATAATCATCAATTTAATAAATATATTAATATATATTTAGTATATTTATTATTAGTAAATAGTAAATACTTTATTATTTAACAAGTAGAGCATTGATGTATATATATTATTAATTTTTACATACCGTCATCGTATAATAATATGAACGGACTGATATAATAATATGTACTGGAGCTGATAAAATTATTTCGTCATCGTATATATCCATTGTTTCTAATATTTCAGTTCTAATATTTCAGCAATATTTTCTCTAATATTTCCATGCGTCATTTTAATAGTTTATAGTAGCACTTTGACATTTGAGCTATTTCGTACAAATAACTAAGTAATAACTAAGTAAATTAGTATACTTTTCATATTACTAGTAAACTCACTAGAATTCAAGTGCGAAAAGTGCATGCAACACGAACAAATTTAATGTATTGGAATGGTATCGAAACGTTTGCGAAGCGGCGATCACGCGATGATCACGTGGTGATTCCAATAATTGCGAGAAAAGTCCGTGCGAAAGAACCAGCATCCGCGAAGCCCGGCGCGGACATGACATTCTGTACTCGACCACCGGAGAATAAAGTCGTCTATTCAATCCTTTATAAAAAAAGAGATGTTAAGTCAATTATTCGCATTTCTCGAAGTTTATTGTTGCCGCTTTTCTGCGATGCTGATTGGTTCTTTTGCTGCGCTAATTTCGTGAGTTACTGTTAATTTACAAATGACAATTTATAAAAGGCGAGTGAGGTTAGTAGCGAAACTTTGAATCGGTTTTGAACAAGAATAAAGATAAGATGAACAAGGAATGAATGAGTTTCTATTTTTTATCACGACAGTATGTCGCTATCATCGATGAATAATATAAAAATATATAATATGAAAAGCTGTGTGGCGCGCGCCTGTTATGTTCTAGTCTACATCAACCGAATCTTTACAATCAATTTATGAATTCTTCTTTCCTATCCTACTTTTCGACTACATTTCAATTAATTTAATTTTTTAGAATTTAAAATATTTTTTAAACTGTTTTTTGCATAATTTTCGATTCTCGGTATATGTCTTCTTGGATTTATATTTCTTTTTATTTCTAATTTTTCATCATCGTTTTCAGACGATGAAGAATCTATTAATTCTCGCACTGTAAGTGCTACTGCTGCTAGTAATAGCTAGTAATAATTTTCTTCGATCTTGCTCCATTTTGCCGTTTGGTTAGGTTTAACGCTACACTCACTGTTCATGGAGTTCGCATTCGATAACGCTATTTTGGCTCCGCGAATGAAGTTGGTACTCTAAAAAATATCACCATGAAATTGACAATGGTGTGGATCTTAACATGGATGTTTATATAATTCTCATCATGTTGGTATGAAATCAACACTGTTTGCTTGGTGTGAAAAATATACCATACCGGTGTGAATTTCCTCATTGAAATGGGTATGAATCTTAATACTACTGGCAGTGTGATTTTTACATCAAATACGTGTTACCAGAAATATTATGGTGTGCTTTATATTTTATAATGTACATGGATTATTGATATTAATATGTATACATTAAATTAATACTAATAATACATATACATTTTATAAAATGCAGATATACATTTCATTGATCATTCCAAGAGGACTATGCAATTTATAAGACTGAGGCTAAGTTAGATCTTTCATATTATATATTATATCATGTTCATCAGCAAGGACATAAACATTATAAACCTGAATTCTTTGGAGAACGATAATGTTTGCTATTTAGATAGTATGAGAAATATGTCATCTTCTAAAAAATTTAATTTGTTCTAAAAATTTAATTTGTCAAAAAATTGGTAAATCGTTAATAAATCCAAAAGAAACAAAAAATTTTTGACGATACATTATATCACAACATATTATCCAATTTAAGAAATATACGTCTTCTACGTAAATTCTACGTAAATTTAGATCTCTTAGCAATGATAATTCCGATGCTTTGTGCAATTTGTCTGATCCAAAATCTATTTTGTTGAAAACATCAGTTATTCTCCATAAATTACAAAAATGCCGTTGATGTTTTATTGCCAATGTTTTACAAATATTTTTGAAGTTAAAAACATTACTAGACATTCTTGTAAACAAACTATATTTGCTTTCGAATCGTATGGTCTATATGGATAATAGATCCCATTAAATGCATTATTCTAGGATAATGTAATAAAAAGTGCTGTTTTGATATAATATTTCCTGGAAATATTCTGTTAAATAATATTAAATGCTCAGATATTAGTTCTTGCAAATAATATGTCAAAGAGACAGTGATTTTCGGAGAAAAAATTATATTCATTATTTTTAAAAAGAATGTAAGTACATGCCACAAATCTTTGTTCCTTTCATCAATGCAAGTACTACTGAACAAAATTAATGGCAAAAAGCGTCCAAGGCACCATGCTTGAGATGCTTTTTGTCCAATATTTATACTTTGCTTATCAAGTTTTAGAGCACAAGGTTTATTGCGTTGTTCTAAGTATCCATAAGGATATGCATCGATATGAGCATATTCTAACATTTACTTCTTCAAGATTTACATATCCTTCTTCAATTAATGTTCTAACGAGTAGTTTAATGATAAGTTGCAAAGAGCCTTCTAAAATATCATGCATACAATTTACACTAGGACATTCTGTCACATAAAAGTATGCCAAATCATTTAGAACACAATTACGCTTTGCACAATTAATTAATTTGCTAATCGTCGCTCCATTTTCTAATTCCTGTATATTACTTTTATACGAATCACGAGTTCTAAGCTTAATTCTCTTATCGTTTTCTGTGGTAATAATTTTGCATTCATTCTTGGTACAGTAACAAAATCTGCAGTAATATGTAGAATTAAAACTTTCGGTATAGCCATAACGAGCACCAAGATTATTGTGACTGACGGCAATAAGTACCTTTAATAAGTACATTTATCCCTTTATGTATTCCAGACGATTCCAATATTTTAAAATCATTATTAATGGCTGTAGTACTGTATCAAAATCAAATTCCTTCACAAGTTTAGTGTGAAATAAACTAAATGAATATGTTGTTGCTGATAATTAAAAACAGGTGGTATATTTGTTAGCTGAAAATAAATTGCTCCAAGTTTGTCTTTTTACTACCTAACGCATTTTCAACATGAAAATCATAATAAAAAATCATTATTTTTAAAGAGTAATTATCTTTAGAAAATAAATCATGTGACATGCAATGTAAACTATCAATATAATTTGCAAAATAGTTTTTATTTTCATATTGCGAATTAACTATTAAGCTTCTTAAAGTTTCGTTTTCTAACAAAAATTTTAAAGAATCTATAATTGATACATAAATAAATGTTCTTGGTATTAAAACAACTTTGCTTGCACCTGTATTCTTATCAGCTCTCGTAACAGCTTTTGTACCTAAATTTATTTCAATCACATCTACTATTCCTATTTCCTCAAAAAATTTTTTCTCTTAAAAGATGAATTAATGTTTTCTAATATACCGCATACATCTTTTAGATGGGTTTGAAAATGATCTACTTGACCATTCTCAATAAGAGCATTTATACTGTTAGCAATCATTTGTCAATTGTCATTAATTCTATACTTGCATTGATTATAGAATCCATAGCATTTTCAGTCATATATAAACCAGTTAATTGTGATATAAAATTACAAGCAATGCTTTTCATTTTTGTTTTGCAGTAGTAAGAATTAAATTAGTAGAATTAATTTTATTAGTTACAAGAGTTTGAGAAATAAGTGCTACATCCTTTTTATAGTTATCCTTTTTATAGTTATCCTTTTTATAGTTATCTTGTAGCTATCTTGTAGAGTATTGCTATACACATTTTCACTTTCAGGATATGTATTTATATTATTATTTTCACTTTCACAACATATATTATTGTTATTTTCATTTGTTACACAATCTGCTGTATGAAAATTGCTGTGAGCAATTCTCAAATGTTTTTTGAAACCAGTAAAAGCGAAAAATTTTAATACAGAGCCCGGCTGACCACAGGAAATTAGATTTTTTTCCATTTAGATATTTAAAATGAGTATTACGTAAATGCCACAATAATTTTTTGACATTAAAGTTTTTCTGCTTGCATATGCTACAATGATATCCTGCCATATTTACTTAATTATCGTATTAAAAAGACGAGCACGTACTTCGTATTTTTGAAATAAAACTATAATTATCGACATCAATGTCAATAGAATATCATTTGCATAAATTTCCAGAATATTTCTAGGGAATCTTCATATTTGCAACCAAATACATAATGAGCCTTAAATAGAGTGTCAAAAGCATTAATATTTGACGTTTGAGCAGGACATGGCAGAAGTTTTCCATCAAAAACCACATAAAAATTGCTAATTGTTTGTTGATTAGAACCTGCTAATAGAAATGGTTGTAAACTGATTTTTATAAGTTCTTGTTCAGATAGCAGTGGAAGACCGATCTGAAATATAAAATATATTCAACATAAAATACATCCAACATAAATACGTGTTTATAGGTTGCAATAGCTATAAGTGCAGAACAAATATTTAGCAATTATTTTGTAATCTGATGAAACGATATAAGGCGTGACATTGCTACATCTACAGTTGCATGATTTGGCTTCTTTTTCTCTTTAGCTGTTGGTAGTAGAAGATGCAAAAATAAAAACAGTGTTTGTGTCGTTGCGTCCCATACTGTCAATAAACATGTATTTTATATTTTATCACATAAAGAATAACAAATCATATCAACAAAGAATCAATCATATTAAAGAATAAATTACAAATTTGTAATTCTGTGCAATTATCAAATACTTACATGCAATATCTTTACTCTTTTTCTTTAATATATTCTTAGATATTTGCACAATTCTTGTTTCAAGGTCGTGCCACTTTTCATTTAATTTGGATGAATACTCTGGCATTAGAGCTTCAAAATCTTTTTGTATCTAAATAATTAATAAGTAAATAACTTGTATTGTTTTTATTTTATTCTAAATTAAAATAAAAGAGATTTACCAATCCTGGCGTATCTAGAAATCGTGGAAATTGTGGAAATTCAATGAGTATATTGTTGGAGAGTTTTGGATCCAGTATTATAGTTCGTCGATATTTTAATGATTTTCTCATCTTTGCTTCAATATCAGCCAATTGTGTCGTTACATGTTTTAGCCACTCGACAATTTTCGTTTCTTCATTTTCATTTATTTCACTGTCAGGAATT